CTGCTCCTCCATCTCCTCCTCTTCGAGCAGTTTGTTCTACACAACACACACGACAACACGCACGACACACACGGCTCGTGCGGTCAGCGCGCGTGTCGTTTGGTCTGTTGCGCGGAAAGGGCTAAGGGAGTACCTTGGCGCCAGGTCCGTCGCGCCGCCGGCGAGGGCTGAGCGCCGTGGGCATGTAGTTGCGCTCCGTGGCCTCCTGCTTGGCCATGCGCTCCCTCTTGCTGCGTTCTGTGTACCAGCGTAGAGTGATGGTGTGAGGCCCAGTGGAGAGACCGCGTGTCGTGTCGTGTCGTGTCGTGTCGTGTCGTGTCGTGTCGTGTCGTGTCGTGTCGTGTCGTGTCGTGTCGTATGGCGGTGGTGGTGGTGGCCATATATACCTCGTCGCAGGATCTCGCCGCCCTCCTCGACGGTCTCGTCGTTCATGCTCTCCGAAAACTGGAAGCGCTTGATGCGAAGCAGGGACGCGATGCGGGAGTACAGATTGAAGAGCGTGAAGAGGACCTGCCCACAGCGCCAGCAACGCAACCCAACCCAACGCATGGTGAGCCCGACCACAGTCGTCGCGGGGAGGGGAGAGAGAGAGAGAGACGGTGTGACGTACCACGACGGCAAGCATGATGGGCACGTAGGTATTGAAGGTGCCGCCGAGAATGGGCACCACCGCCATGTTGCCCATGAGCTGCGCAGCAAAAATAATAAATAAATTGAATACGAAAGAACGAAATGCGAGAGTCGAAACAGAGAAGAAAAAGAAAACGGGGAAGGGGGGAGGGGAAGAATGGAAAACGAACCTTCCAAAAGGCGGTATCGGGGTTGTGGATCATGGCCAGGTAGTTGTGGGCCAGTGGTGGGATCAAACGCCCGAGATACCTGGGACATCACCAACGATGCGCCGTCAGTTCACGCCGGCGGTCGTCGAGCTGAGCGGCGAGCGCGTCGTCGATTTGTGTGGTGGTTGTGGGTGAAGTGATGAAGAAGGGGAGATGACGTACAGGGCGCAGAACATGAGGGAGGAGGGATCGGTCTGCTGGTGCGGAATGAGGCGGTAGAAGTTGAACAGACGCAGGCGGAACAGCGACCAGTACACGCAGATGGCCATGTACGTGATCGACAGGAATATGAACAACTGTGGTTGGGGGGAGGGAGAGCACACACGAACAAGGTTAGACCTAAAGTCGTGTGCGGTGCCGTGTGTGTCGTGTGGCGAGCGTGTGCGGTGTGTCGTGTGTGTGTGTGTGTGGCGCGTGCGGTAGTGTGCGCGCACGCACCTGGCAAGCCAGGTTGGAGAGGCCGTTGGCGTGGATGAGGATGGACCAAATGGACAGATCGATGCCGGTCGGCTTGTCCTCGGTGGCGCTGTTGGGGTCGGGGTCGTGTCGCGAGAAGAAGGTGACCTCGGACCAGAGCACCGTGGCGGCCATCAGCACGCACAGGAACGACGCCAGCCGAAGCGCAAACGACTCCAGCCACACGCGCCACAGCCACTCTGATTACCGCGTTGTTCGCCACACCGTCGCGCCGTGAGTTAGACCGAAGTGCAGCGACGTGTGCGTGTGTGCGTGTGCGTGTGCGTGTGTGCGTGTGGGTGCCATGTGCGTGCGGTACCGCAGAAATGGACAAACTTGGCGCCTCTGCCGGAATAGGGCGTCTTGAAGCTCCACTCGATGGCACTGAACGGGGCAAGACGGACGCGGCATCAGTAGGAGGCAAAGCGGACGAAGCGGTGGTGGCGGTGGTGGTGCGTACTAGGTGCCGCTTTGCTGTTGGGCGCGCAGGATGTCCTCGGTCTGGAACGCGCTGTTGAGCAGCTCCTTGTAGAGGCACTGGTTGCGCCGGGCGACGTGGGCGGCCCACTGGACCTCCGAGCTCAGCTTGACCAGGTTGCCGTAGGTGACTTCCATGTCGCTCTCGCCGTGGTAAATATCAAAATACTCCTTGGGGCACTGTATCGTCCATGAAATTCGTCACATTCCAAGGGGCAGTCGGGCCGTTAGTTGTGGCCTTTATTATTATGGTTCGAATTAAACATAAATAATAAATAAATAATAAAATAATGGAGAGGGCCAGCGTGCCTTTTCGATGATGGACGCCACGTAATGGTGCCAGGGATCGCCCTCCGGTGTCTGCTCTTCGAACTTCTTGACCGTCTGTTGTGTGTACGATGGCGCGGGTGTACGTGTGGTTAACCAGACGGTCGAAAGCGGCTGCACCGGATCTTGAAGTGTGTGTGAGAGAGAGAGAGAGGGCCGAACCTTGAGGATCTTCTCCAGCTTCTCCTGCGAGTTGAGGAGCTCGTCGTGAAGCTCGACGGCCTTGAACTGGTAGTACTTTAGCATTTGACGACGGCTCGCCTGCAGAGTTCATGGGTTGGGTCAGCAATTTATGTATATTATCTCCAAAAATCAGATAAACATATTTATTTATACATATAAATAGAACACGTAATAAAGAAAAGAATAATGCAACAGACAAGAAGAGGTGGGAGCTACGGGGCGAGAAGTGAGTGCTTTAGGTACGTGCCTGGTACCAGATCTTGCGCGGGATCTCGACGAGGCCGTAGCCCAGGAAGAGGATGACCAGCAGCAGACCCCACGCGTTGGCCGCTGCGATACCGATACCCATCATACCGTAGCTGTGGCAACGAGCAACGGCATAGCGTGGTGAGCTTATGGCCGTGTGCGTGTGCGTGTGCGTGTGCGTGTGCGGTGGTGGTGTGCGTGTGCCGCACCCGTCGAGTCGATTCTTGGCGGCGATGATGACGAGGAGCACGAGGAGGATCGCGCCGGCGATGCCGTAGAAGAGCAGATTCTCGACGATGGCCGTCTTGAGCTTCTCCAGCACGCTGAAGCCTCCGGCCAGCGCGTACGACTGCAGGATCGGATAGACCGTCCTGCGTAGGCCCCACCGGCATCGAACGAGAGGGTAAGACAACACACGCACACGCACACGCACACCGCACACACACACACGGCGGTTGGAGGCGGTACGCACCAGCACATGCAGTAGGTGACCCAGTACACGACCCGCCAGACGATGAGCAGGGTTTCTTCGTCGAGGTAGGTGAAGGGCTTCTCGCAGTCCTTCGCCGACAGTTCCTCGCATGTGTTGTACATGCTCTGCATTGGCGTGCAGATGTTCGGCAACGTATAAATTTTTGGATAAATGGATGAGATTTGCGGGGGGGGAGTAGGGGTACCGATGACACATCGATGGGAATCAGGAAAACGATGCAGAAGGAGAGATAGAATCCCGTGAGGACTGTGATGGGCACCCACACGGGGTGTGATGTGAAGGAGGCATAGTGGTTGTAGACCAAGAGGGTCAAAATGGCGATCAGCAGAGCCACGATGACGAACGGAAGCCACATTTCTTCCAAGTAAAGAAATGGAGAAAATCAAGCACACGCAGCTGCCCCTGCCCGCAGCACGATCCGAGAATCCAATGCGCTATCTCTTTCCTATCTCTATCAATCGATCGATTGTGTGTTCTCAATGCTTGCGTGGCATCAACAGCGAAGAGCGCTGGAATGTCCTAACCTCCTAACTCCGATTTTAAGAATGCCCCGATGACCGTTGGTTGGTCAAAAAAATGTCCGTTGCGAACAGGAACGGACGAGCACCAGTGTGGCAGCGAAGAAGAACTGGTGGCCATCTGATCTACTCGCTCGCCTTCCTCTTCTCGCCAACGGCGGCTTCATCGTCTTCTTCATCGTCCTCGTCGGCCTCGTTGTCACCCGCATCTGCGGTCACATCCTCATTGCCCTCTTCGTTCCTCCTCTTCTTGGCGACGTGCGCGTCGTCCTCTTCGCCTTCTTCACCCTCGCCTTCTCCCTCCTCTTCGCCCTCGCCGTCCTCCTCTTCCTCCTCTTCGCCATCGTCTTCTTCGCCCACGAGCTCGGCGGCCTCCATCTCGGCCTCGATCTCGTCCTCGGTCCGCAGCTGACCCAGGAAACCAGTGAACGAGTCTGCCAGGAAGATCGTCTTCATCTTGCCTGCACGACGACGACGGCGACGACGACGACATAGAGCGAGTCAGACTTCACTTTTACACGCGGTAGAATGAATCGGGGGACTGATGCGCGTGCGGCACGCCCGCACCTTCGTCGTCTTCTTCGGCTTCGTGGTCGAGAAACACGACGTAGGGACCCGTGGCTCCCTCGACCTTGCCCACCACGCGGTAGTCGAACGCGACGTATCCACCGCCTGAGCCATCGCTCGAACGGTTAGCGAAGAAGGGCAGCGCAGGAGCCAGACAAGGGGAGCGGGTCGTCGTGGTGGTGGGTAGTGGTGTGGGTTTTACCAGGATCGTCGCCGATGGGAATGACACCCTCGGGCAGTCTGTCCTTGAGCAGGTCGTGCATGGCCACGACATGGTACTGCGCACGGTCGGCGTCCTCGGGCACGAAGTGGAACAGCGTGCTGAGCGAGGTGGCGTCGTAGGCCTCGCTGTCGGCGCTGAAGAACTTGAAGATGGCGGGCGTGGCCGTCTGGCCCTGGTGCTCCGTCACCACCGCCTTGTAGTCTGCTGGGAACGTTACCTGCACAGATACAAATAAAGATTAAAAAATAGCCAACAATATAAATAAAATCTATTTCAATATTCTATATTTTATATTTATTTGCAATATAACAATATTGATATTGATGGTGTCCATCGGAGATCGGAGTGTTGATTGAAACGTTACAAAGAAAGATTTCGATGGCGACATGCAAGATAATTTGGGGTAAGAGTACGTTGAGTTTGGTCTCGGCGGCTTGGATGTCGCTGGCGCTGGCGACCTTGGGCTCCTCCCACAGGTAGTTCTGCCAGGTGATCACCCTCGGACCCTCACCTTCGAGAGCAGACGGAACCACTGTCGTCTTCGCGGTGCCAGCCGGCGGTGGCACTGACGCGGCGAACGTAAGCTCGGGAAAACCTTCAGGCGTGGCCATCTTGAAGCTGTCGATGAAGAGGAAATGAGGATAGCCGTTGGAGAGTTTCAATCAGTGCGAAATTATTTACGAAACAATTGTGATTTATTTACGAATTTCGATTCATTTCTTTTTGTTCCGGCTTTCTTCTTGTGCGGGCTCGGAGACGACGTTCGATTAGACGTTCAATCTTGCCTCAGTGCAACCCCTCATCGTTTCGTAAAGATCTCTTCTCTTGCCATGAGCTTGCTGCCGACCATTACGGATGAAGACAACGTCGAAATCTTCGAGGAGGACGATGATGGCGAAGATGACTTGATGTTGGGACCCGCCAGTGATGAAGAGGAGGAGGAAGAGGCGGACGGAGAGACTCCCAAGGTACGACTTTCAATCTATTCAGTTCCCGTAGCGCTATTCTACAAAATCGCGATTTCTAATTCATCTGGCTGATCTATTTTGTGCAATCCATCTTTGGCGACCGACCATCTCTTTCTTTCGCGCCTCTTGTTGCAGAAGGGAAAGAAGAAGGCGAAGAAGACCAGCAAGCTCGAGTTCGACTTCTCCGGCGACACCAGAGAGGGCGAGCGGCCGTGGGACTTCTCATGGGCGCTGCAGAACACACTCGAGAAGAACTACGACGTACCCATTTCTCTCTCTGCGTGTGTGTCGTGCGTGTCGTGTGTGTGTCGTGTGCGGCGTGTGCGTCGCTAACACGGACGACTGGCGACTGTGTCGCAATACAGGAGCAAACGTCGATCGACTACAAGATCAGGAAGCAGCTGGAGAGTAGGCGAAAGCGAGGTGTTGTGGACGACGACATCGACGACGAGGACGTGGAAGACGAGCAGGAGGGAGTAGAGCAGCCCAAGAAAAAGAAGAACAAGAAGAACAAGAAGAAGGCGGCCAAGGAAGCCGAAAAGGAGGAGGCTGAAGAGGATGAAGAAGATCAAGAAGACGAGAACGAGGATCAGATCAAGCAGGTGACGCACAAGCCGACCAAGAAGCAAATCAAGGAGGTACGCCGACGTCTGCGTAACAGCTCTGCAGTCCTTTTCTACAGTCGCTTGTCGTCGCGTTGCATTGTGATGCGTTGATGCGTTGATCGCTGATCGGGCATATTCGTTTCTCATCGTACGCGCAGGCATTCTTCGAGAAGTCTGAGACCGAGGGTTACCAAGCCGAGAGCTTCCTGGTACGCGCGCCTCACAGCCACCGCTCATCATATCATGGGCGCTGCTTGCTCGGACACTTTTGCTGAATTCACTAATATCGGTTGTGTGTGTCGTGTGTGCGTGTCGTGTGTGCGTGTCGTGTGTGTCGTCGTTGCGTTCGTTGTGCCACAGGATCTTCACTTGTCTCGTGCCTTGTTGAAGGCCGTGGCCAATCTCGGCTACGACCGACCCACTCCCGTGCAGTCGCAGGCGATCCCCATCGCGCTGCAGGGCAAGGACGTGTGCGCCAGCGCCACCACCGGCTCCGGTAAGACCGCCTCGTTCGTGCTGCCCATCCTCGAGCGCCTCATCCACAGGGACAAGCGGTACGCAAGCTTCGCGCCAATGGCGCTTCCAAGGAATTCGTGGAATTCATTAGTCTCACCGTGTTGCATTAATGGTAAACAGCATCATGGCCACGCGAGTCGTCATCCTGACGCCCACGCGCGAGTTGGCGATTCAGTGTCACTCCGTGATCGAGAAGCTGGCCAAGTTCACCGACATCACGTACGAGAAGCATTTTCACAGTGTCTGTGTATTGTGTGTGTGTGTGTGTGTGTGTGTGTGTGGTTGTGTGGTGTCAAACGTATCGACTCTGACGTTGGCTCCTCCGCCTCGTTTCACTGCAGGGCCTGTCTGGTCGTGGGCGGTCTGTCGAACAAGGTGCAGGAGGCCGCGCTCCGCAGGCACCCCGACATCGTGGTGGCCACGCCCGGTCGTATTATCGATCATTTGAGGAATGCGCAGTCGTTCACCCTGGAGACGGTCGACATTCTCGTGCTCGACGAAGCCGATCGACTGCTGTCGCTCGGATTCGCCGACGAGCTGGAGCAGATCATCAAGTTCTGCCCCCCTAACCGTCAGACCCTTCTCTTCTCCGCCACCATGACCGAAGAGGTGCGCACCTCGGCTCCTTCCATCCGTCGTCGGCCAGCGCTGACCCGCACAAACCTTGTGCACGTGTCGTGTCGCAGGTGGACCGTCTGGCCTCGCTTTCGCTGAACCGGCCGGTGCGTGTGCGTCTGGACCCGAACATGCGGGTGGCCAGCGGCATTCAGCAGGAGTTCATCAAGATCAAGGAGGCTCGCGAATTCGACCGCGACGCCATGCTCCTCGGTACCTGCGCCCTCGCGCTCTCGTCGATCGCTCGTTCAATGCAATGCTCACACCAACTTTTTTCTCACATTTTTTCTCTCTATCTTTTTCGTTTCTTTTCTTCTTCAGCGCTCTGCACGCGTTCGTTCAAGAAGCGGGTGCTGATCTTCTTCCGCGCCAAGAAGGAGGCCCACAGGCTCAAGGTGATCTTCGGTCTCGCCGGACTCAAGGCCGCCGAGTTGCACGGCAATCTTTCCCAGAATCAGGTTCGGCGCCAACCGCTCTTGACGACACACGACACACACGCACACGCACGCACACACACGCACGCAGCACACACCACCGCACGCACGTCCGCGCGTTCCGTCGTTAACGCCGTAATCGGTGGTGCGGTGCAGCGTCTTGAGGCGTTGGAGAAGTTCAGGGACGGCAACTTCGACTACCTGTTGGCCACAGACCTCGCCGCCCGTGGTCTCGACATCCTGGGTATCGAAACGGTACGCCCCAACAAGCTTCGTGTGTGCGTGTGTGCGTGTGTGCGTGTGTGCGTGTGTGCGTGTGTGCGCACTGCGACTAACCAAGGCGCCCGCCATACTCGATCTAGATTATCAACTACAACATGGCCCGCACCGTTGAGTCGTACATCCACCGCGTGGGCCGAACTGCCCGTTGGGGCCACTCCGGTACGCGCCTCGTCGCGTGTCGGACACAGCACCGCACGAGTAACTCTCACACACACATATGTGGACCGGTTGGTTGCGGCGATGCCATACCAGGCAAGTCGGTCACGTTCATCAGCGAGCAGGACAGGAAGGTGTTCAAGGAGATCATGAAGAGCACCAACCAGAAGGTCTCCAACCGCGTCATTCCGCCCAAGGTACCCCCCTCTCCCTCTCCTGCGCGGATGACCCGACGTCAGGGCCTGGCTGACGCCTCCGCGTGGTCCAGATCATCGATCAGTGGCGAGAGAAGATCGACAGCATGAAGGGCGACATCAGCCAGATCTTCGCCATGGAGTACGAGGAGAAGCAGCTGCGTTTGACGCAGATGGAGGCCAGCAAGACGCAGAACATGATCGAGCACCACGACGAGATCATGTCCCGTCCCCCGCGCACCTGGTTCCAAACCAAGGAGCAGCGAGACCTCGCCAAGGGTTCGTTTCTCCCCCTTTCCCTGTCCTCCCGCGTTTCAGGCAACTCACGCACACGCACAC